GAGAGGATGGGGTGTGCCCCTGCGGAGAGAGGAGCGGGCTGGTGAGATGCACTCTAATCATCTAAGGGGGGCGGGGCGCGCAAATGTCTGTGGCATGTGCGGCCGTCGCTCCGTGTTTCTGTGCCCGGTGCGCGTGTGCTCGAGCGCTCCAGCCTCCCCTTTTTTCGAGACCATACTGTCGTAATGCGCGATTCGACATGAAAATAAGAAGACCGGACGCAGAACGACGACGACGTCGTTTTCAAACGCCGAGCCTCTCGCGGCGCTCCGCTCTCGGCCTCGGGGCCGCACACCTCTCGACCTAGTGGGGGAAATGGTAAATTTTGAAAGTCGCACTACAAGCCCGGCAAGCTCAGCACTGACTGTGGACACTATGGGGAGTCTATAGCTATGCCCCTTACATCCAGGGACCGACCACACGAGGGCCCACACCCGTCTCAAGACAGACAAATTTCGGTCACCGGCGCGCGCGCGGCGCCTCCTCCTCCTCCTCCTCTTCAATGAGCGGCGTGCGGGGCGGGCCGGTGGCGCCCAGCTCGCGGGGATCGAGCCGCCACCCATATGAGACGGGCCTGTTCCACTTCTCGGGAAGAAAGGCGATCCATCTCTCCCCCGCCGGCTCGTCGTACTCGGGGTCGGCGTCCCAAGCCCAGAGCAGCATGCCGGCCGGGAGGATCTTGCGTGCGCGCGGGCTCCTCTTGTCGGTGAGGCCGTCCGCGACGCGCTTCACCCTGCCGGCGGCCCAGATCTTGACCGTCCTACCTTCCTCCTTGTATGGCCAGCACACCTCGAGCCACTTGCCCACGAGTCGCGTGTCGAAGGGGGGGGCTTCGCGGTCCTGCCGCACCTCGACGCTGTCCGAGATGCCCGCCGCCTCGCGCCGCTCCCGCGCGGCCTTCGCCTTCGGGAGGAGGTTCGAGACGTTGAAGATGCTCTGCTGCTCCAGGCGCAGCACGTCCGCGTCGGCGGTGCCCAGGGTCTTGATCGAGCGGACCCGCAGCTGAGGAGGCGCCGCCTATGGGGAGCGACACGTCGAGTGAGACGGGGAAGCGCTCATCTCAGAGCGGAGCGCGGGCGGCGCGCCTCGGTCGGGAGCTTCTTGAGCCGCCGCAGCTGGAACTCGTAGGGCAAGATGTCGTCGAGCAGCATGCGCTTGAGGTCCTCGATCTTGTGCGAGCGCTCGTCGGAGAAGAAGCCCCACTTGGTCTCGAAGTGCGTCCAGCCACAGCCGACTGTCCGCATCTCGATCTGGCGGCGCAGCTCCGCCAGCTGCTCGGGCTCGGACTTGCCGCCCAGCGCCCGCTCGAGCTCGGCGGCGGTCTTCACGCCCTGCGCGCGCCACTGGTCGAAGAGCTCGAGCGCGGCGGCGTACCTCTCGACCGCGGCGTTGAGCTGCCGCTGCACCGCCTCCTCGCGGCGCAGCAGCTTCTCCTGGTCGTGCGACAGCACCTCGGCTCGCCCCTCCTTGAGCGCGTCCGGCAGCCTGCGCCGCGCCATCGTGACAAGCGACGAGCGCAAATCGGCGCGCAACCTCCAGAAGAAGCCGACGGGCGGAGCCTCCGCCGGCTCCGCCTTACGCTTGCGCCGGTCGCTGACGACGTCGAGCGGGCGGTCGTAGTCGTGCGCCGCGCGCTGCTGCACCACGCCGGACACGTTGAAGACGCTCATGTTGCGGTAGAACCGCATGATGTAGTCGGCGATGGCGAACTTGGTTCTCGACCGCGTCGTTCGTCACGTGCGCGTCGATGGTGCGCCGGTGCGCGTCCTCGTTCTTGCTCCCGGGGTTGACGCCCTTCCTGGGGACTCCGAGCTTGGTCAGCCAGGGGCCAGCTTTCGGGTCCGTGGCATCTTTTCTGAAACCGCCCGCCCCCCCGCCTGGAAGGCTTGGCGCAAGCTCCAAAGCACCCTTTGGGGCCGTT